TTTTATCTTAAGATTAGAATGTGCTTTTGATTTATCTTTCGATTATGAAGCATGAGTTTTATTCTTATTTTGCACTTTTATTATTAAGTCTCAAATTAAAATACATATATAGTTTACATGCATACCTGCTTGTTTTGTAAGGCAAAGGTAAATAATCCAAGATAATCCAGATGCAAAACATAGACGACTGAATGCGTTATAAAAACAAATTGCAATTAATGATGGATCTGTGTGATACAAACCAAAAATAGAACTTAATGTGATAGTTAGAGCAATAATCCATCCACAGCATAAAGTTACCTAGAAAGTGAAAACGACAGACATTAAAATTTAAACTTTATATACATATAAACTACTTTGCAATATTGCAATAAAAGTGAAAAATATTTTTCATGCCCTTCGAATACTGTGATTATCTTTCTTTTTCTCTAACCTTTGGACATCTTGATAATGACTCAATAAATAACATGTCGAGAAATAAATGCATGATAATCTGCATCTCTACACCTCCATCAGGATAATAGACCTGCTGTTAATGGTTAAGCTGTTGTGAATCCTCTGGAAGAGAAAATATATTAGCTGTGCGCCGGGCCGGGAGGGCTGGATAGGTGACATGATTCGGCATCTGTTAAGTTATATGGTTATACAAGGCCCTGGAAGCAAGTAGATTGGGGTTCTGTGTTGCTACGTTCGAACAGTAGATTATAAACTTAAAAGCTGCACTACAGTAATTATAGAATTATCTACATCAAAAGAAACTATTTTACAGAATATGACCAAAGAACAGAATAATAACTTCCTGAAATATTTACAAGATCACGGTATAGACAAAGTGAAAAAAAAAAAGAAAAACTTCGTTTTACAAAATAGATATAAAAATATGAATAAATGAGAACTACGAAAAAGATCAAATAATTATGTGTAAGAGAATAATGTATTTTCCAATATACAGTCCTAAATTAAAAGTATTATGCTGTGAGGAAGAGTATAAAGAAAGACTGTCTGTAATGGTATTGATATCTGCAATTACTTTCTGAGCTTTCTTTAGCCATTTTTAATTTTCCAGTAGTTGAGCTCTCCAGATCTAAAGATTTCCTTTTGCAGAAAGTTCTGAAAGATGCATGCTCTGTGTTTAGGATAAATAATGTCTCAGGTAGCCTACTTTATATGACAGGAACACTGATCCGAATCCCTATGGCCGAACCTATTTACTACATTGGCCGATGTCAGGCAGTGTTCAAAGCAGAGCCACGTCAGTATGGAGCTTTATGATTTTAGGGGTGAAGAGACTAGTGGAAAATAGTTATGGGTGATATGCTCCCTAGTCTGTTTGTCCCATTGTCGTTTCTAGATGTTATCCGCATTGATTTTCACTTCCCCCCCCTTCAAGTTATAACTCTGATTTGGTATCAACATTGAAACTACCGGTGGCTGGTAAAGTGTAGGCTGTTGCCGCCTTTTCAAATTTGTCGGTGTAGACGTTTGTAAGAATTTCAGTGCACAGGAACAACTGAAGATTTTACACAACCTCTTATTAGCCAGAATGCAATGGAGAACATTACTTTGCATCCTCTGGATGCTGCGCTTGGGGAAGCTTCCGAAAGGTACGCCACTGCTTTTCGGCCCTTTCATTTCTCTCGCACTCTAACAGAGCTGTGATTCATGGCATGGTGATGATGCCATCTTTATAGAGAAGAAGTTCCATTGTGGCATATACGACGACGTTTTGAGAGGCTTCATCAATAATAGCTTTACTAGATACACTGCCAGTTCAAATGACTGTTATAGAGTTTCTATAAACAACCCGTTTCACTGCTTGTAGAACTGCGAATAATTCTGTCTGAAAGATAGAATTAATGCGTCTGAGTCTTGTTGACCATTGAAAAACACAGACTTCCCCATCTTTGCGCAGAAGATACTGGCTGTACCGTCATCAGTCTTAGAGCCATCGGCATATATTTCAAGTATGCTGTCCCTTCTGCTACATCACTGGTATGTATAACGTACTGCAGGCCTCGCATAACCAATACATACGCTAGCCGAAAAAATGTCCCGCATAACGAACGTGGTCCTTCATTAAAAACCGCGCATTTAGATCTGTATGTCTCTAAAACTGTATTTACAAGAAATGCATAATTGAAATGTTTTCGCTGACGTAAAGTTGTTTCGAGATCGTGAGTTTGAGACCATTGGTCTACACTGTTGCTTTATAACTTTTTTTACATAGAAGAACTGTTTTTAAAATTGTATGCAATTTGTGGAATTCTAGAATATTAATAATATCACAGTGTTAAAAACATTTAATACAATTAAGGAATGAATAATTGATCTATATTGAATGTGTTATTAATTTGTTGCTAGACAGCAAATGCATAGTTAAAGTAATAGTAATGAAAACTGAATTATAATTAATTGGTTGTATGCATATTCTTTAAATAGTGAGTATTTTTATAAGTATATTCATATTAAACTACAGTACATTTCTCTAATTAGAATTCACTACTGAATGTGATTAAAGCCGATTCTACTTAACAATTAATCATTCTATGATAATTAAAATACTTCACGCATGCACGAATGAATAAAAACTCGAACGGCATTTAGAATGTGAAATGCAGTTTTTGAGTGCTATGCCAGTTTTTTTCAGCAAAAAAGGAAATAATATTAAATTAATTAATAATATTAAGTAAGATAATATTCAATTAGGTAAAAAGCTAATTGAATTTCAAATTCTTTTTTTACCTATTAATTTCAAATATATTTGGTAATTTATTTCTAACAAATACCTCATATAACATGTCACAAAATAAGCACAAAGAATATACAAATAAATTTAAATATATAAAAACTAGGTTAATAACGCAGCAACAGACTGTATACATATTGTTACGAAATGTGCAGGCGCGGTGAGATGGCTTCCCCGCAAAGCAGTTTGGGTTGCCATAAAATGGCAAGGGAACGCAGGGTTGCCACATCTGGCGACAAAATTGGCGATATACCACGGACGGATGGAGAACCTTCTGGAACGAATTCTTACCAGTTTAGCCAGAATGTTCTCGAACACAAGCCGAAAGCTATTATAACCCTGCTGGTCCGCAGTTAGTATCAAGTTGGTGTCTCGTCTAGCGAATCAATCCCTGCGGAGTCGATCGAGTTGACAGCCGGATAGCGAGTGCCGAGTGGGTCGTCGAATGCACCGAAATAGTCTCGTAGTGAATCGTCGAGAGAGCGTGTTGAGCTCCGGGAACGACTGAACCGAGGAGTCGGGAGGTGTGCTCTGTGCGTAGTCGAGGCATCGTGAGTTGTAGAGTGGAGAGTCTCGAGAGTACGTGGAGTTCCGAGAACGACCAAGCAGAGTCGGGAGCTGTACTCTAGTGCTTTGGCCGTGAAGCTGTCTCCACCGTGATAGCCTGATAACCTGAGGCTGTGTCGCTGATCGTGTCTGTGTGTTTATAGACACATAGTAGTTTCATCGACGACTGTAAAACGTGTTTTGCAGCTGTCCTGACAATAATGGCCAATAAAGTGTGTTTCGATACTTCATGAAGTAGTATAGTCATTATTCACCCCAAATCCTCCGAACCCCGTACGAACGTGAAGGAAGAAAATAACGTAACCTGGTGTCAGAAAAGAAAAACGCAACAATAATATTCTTTCTCCTTAAGTAAGATGAAATTGGAATCATTATTTATCAAAGAAACCTGGTTCGAATTTTTTGCTGTTCGTTTTGCGATACATGGACTTAATTTTCCCTTTCGGGTTAATATGCGGACACCGTGTTTCATAAGGTATGTATCATTGTATGAGAAATATTTTTATGTGCAATTTAATGGAAGAGTACTTATAATTTCGTTGAGATTTGTTGCAATGTAGCTAGCTAAACGACCCCTTGTCACATGTGCGAGTCTCCATTCATCTCGAAATTCAATCTCGTGTACGTTCTCATTTTAGTCGAATTCATAAATTTTAAAAGGCAGTTGCGTTGATTTAACTTAAAAATTTTGAAAAATTCAGTACCTGCAGAAACAAAGCGAATGGCTTTCATAGCAATGATATTGTTATGAATATTGTATTCAGATAATTAATTTTAGTAGAATTAAAATTGTTATATTTCCTCGTGCAATGCAGCGCAAGACAAATTTTAAGAGAAAGCTATGCCGGAAAAGTAAGAAATCGGGCACGTGCATTTAACATTGAGTAAATGGTTATCTCGGTAATTTGTATCGAAATTGAATAAATGTAATTAACCACTATGTTAGCTGTAACCGTAATTCCATCCTGTTATTGTTTTCCAGAAATTTCGAAAAGGAGAAATTACTAGAAATATCTCGCGACCGTTTGAAAGGTATAAAAACCGGAGAGAGAGCGTCTGAGTTCAGTTAGTAGGTTGTTAAGTGTTGTTGTTGATTTAGCTAGTTCTGCCATTTTGCAAATAGCGGATTCATATTGAAATCGAATTTTGTTAGAATTTTCTTAGCTCAGTGCTACCCTCGGTATCACTATGAGTTACTCGTTTAGAACGATCGGACTACAGGAGAACAGCGATATGCGGAATCGGATTTCTTTGCTATCGGATTACCAGCAGGTATTTCTAAAAAGATTCAAGAACTTTTTCGAACCCCCAACCGTTAAGAAAGCTGAAGCAATAATTATACAAAGGACAAAATGAAGCTGTTGCATCTAATGCACTTGCGACTGATGTATCAGACAACGAATTCGGAAATAAGACTGAACTTTACCATGTTGAGACAAATCAGGAAACCGTACAATTTCTGAGAAACATGATACTGCAACAAGGAGTGGATAATTTTATGGAAAAACTCAGATCGATCGGATTCAATCCACCCAGGATGTTACCGACGGAAACCATGAGAAAACGAATTTGTACTAACAACCTTTCGACTGAAAATAATCCAGAAAAATCAACAGACGGAGGAAAACCCAGAGAATGAATGGATCAAGCCTAAAAAAGTTGCTAAAATCCCAAAGAGCCCAAACCCATGGATATTCCACATCAAAACAGATTCCAAACCCTTGCAGAGCAACCAATAGAGAATGAAGGAGGAGCTAACTACGAAGAAACGCCTTCCCCCATTGTTATAGCCCATAATGACGTAGACTGGTTGGAAATTGATGAAATTTTTCAGGAAAACTGTTCCGAGGAGTTTGAATCAACTTTGAAGGCAAAAAGCATCTTTATCTACACAAAAAACACGACGGACTATAGAAAAATGTGTAAAATACTTGTGGACAAGAGCATATGTTCCCCTCTTTTCTCCTAGAAAGCGAAAAGCCGCTACGTGTAATCCTTAGGGAATCCCAGCCTCAGTGAAGGAAGAATCATACTCAACGAACTGCGAGACGTAAATTTCCAATAATAAAAGTCAAGCAATTTACTCGTAGACGTCAAGAAACTGTTGAGAAACTACCCATTTACCTATTAGAATTTTAAAAAATGCAGAAGGTCATTTTCCATAGGACGCATTTTCTGCTAAAAATGATTATAAGAGTGGAAATGCTATAAGCGAAGGAGATAATTATTTAGAGACTGGGCTTTCGGCGGTAGAGGCTGAAAGTTCAGTGGAATGAAGTATAAAATCAGCATTTCTGTAGATTCTGTAGATGACGGGTTCGAGGTCTTCCACCACGTTTTCCTTACCACCAAACTCTCGAGAGGATTTTGGGGTTCGCCACATATTTAGATGCCGCAACGACTCTATACATTTATAAACATGTATGCCTTCTCCGGGATTCGAAGCCTGACCCTTCAGTACGGCAGTCATAGTCATTAACCTCCCGGTTGGGCCGGCAAATGAGATTTTCTTTGTATCGTAACCAAGCAAGATCCCCTCTACGATGGCAGGGAAATTTTCCGAGGCGCCGGTTGCCATTAAGTTTGCCATCTGATGTCAACGGTTTAAAAACGGGTGAAACATTAATCATCATTGAAGGATTCATACAACAAAAAACAATTAGCGCCCTGCAAGAAAAGATTTAAAGATACTAAAAATAAAATTTAAAAAAAAGAAAGAAAGAAAATCTGAAAGGTTTCAGATTTTAAGTTACGTCCAAAGGAGTCTTTTTTTTTTTTAACATTTTGTGTGTTACCTTTATTAAATATCATGTTCTTCGCACTTAAACCATAAAATTTAGTTCAAGAGCAATATCGCAAAATAATTTTAAATTGAGCATATCTTTAGATAGAATTTCCGATATACAGTCCCACGCGCTGGAGATAAGAATGTTTTTTCTGTACAACGTTAATAAAAAATTTGTTCAAGTTTTACAAAATATGAAACCGATAATAAAACAAATTTCAAATTTGGGCTTCCAGACCCCCATATTCGCAGTAGGATTACATCATTCAAAATTGGATGGCTCTAGGTACCGTTGTTTTATCACAATGCGAGAAACATACATACATTTATGCAGATTCTTCATTATTTAATTTCTTCGATGATGAAGATTACATTCTTCATGGTTTTAACTGAACTTCGAAAGTGTACCATGCACCTTTTGTGACTAGACCAATTTATGCAAGTTGGTCGTGTCGGTCAAACCTGACCCATCCGCACCTCGTAGCCATTAATAGATTTGACAAAACAGCAACCTTATTTTTGCGTATGAAAGGTTGTTGTTTTGACGAAATTTAAGATTTACTTTGGCGTATTTCGCTTCCTATTTGATTAATAGATTAGTTTGCAAAGCTATTGCTACCAAGAATGTAATATTTTTTAACTTTAAAAGCAAACTTTTAAGTTCCTTAAGAATAGTAGCTATTTTCTGTGAAAGTTTAATCGAAATTTTATATACACTGCAGCAGAAAAGGACATTTAAACGAACTTGTTCTTACTTTTACACGTCGTTGGCAAGTCCGCGTGGCCTAACGGATAAGGCGTCTGACTCGAATCAGAAGATTGCAGGTTCGAATCCTGTCGCGGACGGTAATTGTAATTTTTATTTTTATTTTTAAGATATATTCGTATAATTTCTCTGCAAGTAGAAATTGCCGATATAATTATAATTTTTCTTTTTCCCTGAACATTTTATGCTGAGAACTGAAGGTGATATTTTTCCTTCTTGTATTTATTACGCCATGAAATTTATTATGTCATTAAATTCTGATTGCATAGTCAGGCTCTGTCTTATTGTATACATTAAATATTGGAAAGTTTAATTAGTAAATGATACGAATTATAAATTGAATTTTAAACCGTAAGACGTCAAGTTATTATTTTTTAGGTAGAAATATTTTTCTAATAATATATATCGTGTTTAATAATTTATATATATGCAAATTAATGGTTATGAATACTTTTCTCAGCTATTTAAATTCTTTGAGCAATGATTCACGCAGGCGGTTAAAAATAAGTAATAATTTTACCCTCTTGAAGCGAAAGGGTTTTAACGATTTTGGTTAAAGTTTTTCTTCGATAGTCCACTGTAAAGTAATGAATACTAACGCACTCTTCTGAATTACATACTTAAGCAAACGCGTTAATATTTTTATTTTATTATTTATTTTAAGTTCTCAAGGCAAATGAGAAAATTTTCGAACCTAATTTATGGTATGAAAGGTCCTTGAGGAAATAAGTACATAATGAAAGAATTTTCTGCACGCTGCTCAACCCTGACGTGATTAAATAAATAAATAAATAAAATAAGAGAAGCAAAGCACAAAAACAAGAAATAAAAGAGGGGAACAGGCGAATAAAACCGCATAGATGTTTTCCTATTTCTGGCTTCTTTGCAAAAAATTGGGAGAAAAGTGCATTATGAAAAGCGAGGTTTTCTGCCGTGTATGTTTACGTTCTTCGAAGTTATGACGTCACTGCGGGACGGTAGTGCGCACGCACCCAGTTCCACGCCACTCTGTCGATAAACAAAGATCCGTGGTGACGTCACAGCCGATTTGTTGTCATCCAAAGCGCGTGGATCGATGCTGCAGTTTCTGCAGTACTGGAAAACGTAAAATCTCAACTCTAGGTCTGTTCTGACGATTTTACTACTGCATTTATCTAAAGGTTTATTGATTGCTAGCTGCATAATCATGTACTAGTAGTTCCTATTCTGCACACAAAGATCGGTTTTTTGTTGATCTTGGAACATTGATCTGGAATGAAATGTTTCAAAACATTGTATCAAGTGTCCGTTTTTGAGTTGTTGATTTATTGTTATATTCATGGTTTTTGATGTCATTACAGCAAAAGCATTTTAAAAAAAGCACGAAAATCATTTTAGAAAGGTTTCTTTCTTCAAACATAATAATTCTTCTTTTAAGCTTTTCTGTATGGTTGTATTGGACTGAATTGGCAGCAAAAATAAACTGGCGTATCTTTCTCCCTCAGCAGCTGCCATTTTAATTTATAGACGTTTCTAATACTTACCCGGCTCTTGGTGCTGTTAAAAGTTTTATCAAAGGATAGTTTTTATTGGTCACTTAGCCACCAAATTGTTAGACATGCTGTTCATACCAAATTGTTAGACATGCGGTTCTAGATCTGATTTCAAGCCTTTCGTTGAAACACAACTTTTGGGGCCCTGAAACGCTTCGTAAAATATGTAATCCATTCTGAAGATGCATTTAATGAACTCTCAATAACCAAAACTGTGTGGAAAACAATGCTTTTTTCTGTGAACATGTTTGAGATTTATAAACATTTCCTAAGTAAACAATTGACTAATTGGATCAGGCAAGCATCAAGATTCTCATCTTAAGGTCATTTTTAAACAACTGTTATTGACACTGCGTCACTCTCTCGCAAATATTATGAGTTTTAGTCGTACTATTACTTTTGAAATCTGTGTATTATGATCTTCAATATTCAACTTCTTGCCTAATTTGTGAACAGATTCCTGTGTCTTTTGCTTAGATATGGTTTCATTTAATTGTTTAAATTATCTACTTGCTGACTAGGCTTACTTCTTGTGAAAAGTTAAACACATGACCGCCCGAAGAAAATTAGACTAAGCGATTTTTTAAGCAAATAATAAAATTATGTTGCTACCATGAAGAAAATATTCAAAGTCAGCCAACCACAACCGTAACCTTTTGATGAACTCGAGCGCAATATCGCAGTACTAATATCTAACAAATCAAATTCAAAGACTTCGATTATTTTTTTATTACAAAACAGCGCTATAGAAACAATCATAACAAGCTATTCATCTCACTACTTTAATTCAAGTTGCTAACTGAGAAGAGAAGAAAATTAGAAATATTGTTTCTAATGTTATTTTAATATTTATTTTTAACAAATTTATTAAGACGCTAAACAGTGCACGGATAACTTGCAAAACAAATAATATGTATGCAGATAACCGATAGTTCAGTGTATCTAAATATTCAATTTTGTTTCTTGAATAACATCTTAAGGTTTATGGTCTCCATCAGTTTAAATAAGAAATCAATGTATTCTAACTTTTTTTTTTTTTAGCTATTCAATCCATCTGAATTTTCTTATGCCTGTTAAACTATGTCGAAGGTCGTTTTATAACGTGTATTATATTCAGAAATGTAAAATATAAAATATTTAACCATTACGGAAACTTCGACTTTGGTAGTAACTGTAACTGCAACTATTGTTGACGATGGCAGTTTTTTTACGAAGTAGTTCGGATCTCAAATTTTAAATCCTTGTTGTTTTACCGGGTAGAGTTTTTCCTCAAACAGTTTTTATAAGCATCATTCTATAATAAAATCATTCAGAACATAAAGTGTGCTTTTACACTATTCAAACCTATATTTCAGTATCATACTTTAAAGCTACCGAAAGCAAGTGCGAAAATGTATGTAAGGAATTGCTGTTGCAGACAGCTGTTTAGTGTTTCCGCTTTTTTCGTTTTAAAAAATCCCCCCCCCTTCTCTCGAAGGAAATGAAAAGCTATAAAATTCTGCAACGCATATACTGCGAGTATTTTTTTTAACCTCCCTTCTTTCTCCCCCCCCTTCTTTTTCTTTTTTAAAGAAGCCCATTGGCGGTCGTTGATCCGTAGTGTTTACATTCTACATAGCGATTAAAAATGAGCTCCTCGCTGAACAGGACATGCGGCTACAGATAACGAAGTGTAACTGTGAGGAGCTGTTTCTTTGGGAAAAGACATTTTGATTGAGAGTTTTTTGGTCACTCTTAAGAACATATTCTTCCTTGTATTCAAATCGCACCACTATTCTATAAAGAATTAATTGCTGTAAAATACGTATAGTGCCTCTGTCAATATATATAATAGAAAGACAGGGCCATAATAATAAAAGATAACATTATGAAACAGCGTAATGCATACGAATTATGACACCGAAAATTTAAAGCATAGGAATATTAAAGATCTGTATTCTAGGTAAAAAAAAAAAGTTAAATCCTGTAGTAGCTAGACTCTAAAACACTATAAGGAAGTATTGTTTTTCGATCCAAAATTTCGATAGTGAGTTTCCAGTGTATAAGCATGAATTAAGATTCCCAACAACACATTTTACTATTTTTGCAGTGTTGGCTGTGTGTATGCGTGTGACGGTGTTTTCGTTCAAGTTGACACTTATATGAAACTTCCCAAAATTTATGTTTTCTGCATTTAAGTTTTCGATATTCATGTAAAGAGTTAATTTGATTTTGTTTATAATTGGACAGCCGGAAGGGATACTTTACTTGAATTCCGTAAGAATTTTTAATGAAAAACCTATGTTAAACTATAATCCAAAATTTTTCAGTTTTGGTATTTAAGACTTTTATATCAATAGAAACAATATATTAGATTTTTGGCTGTAACTGATAAATTGGAAGTGACTCTTTAGTACTTTACTTGAAGCTCTGAACAGACTTTTGTGAAAAAATATATTGTGATATAATCTAAAACTTCTTAAATTTGGTATTTAACACTCTTACATGCACATACGATGTATATGCAATTATGATTGAGAACACAACATATTAGATTTTGACTATATATGATAAACCGGATGTGATATTTTGCTTGGATTTTCGTGGGAAAATATAGATTTGTAGATATTAGATATTATTAATATTACTCTTGAAAAAATGTAAAATCAATCTAGTAAGAGTTTAATTTAAAATAATGCGGCACATATTAAGGATAATTTATGTCAAGTTGCTGAAGAGAATGATTTTAATAACAGCGTTTCATTCGCAGAACTTCAAAACTCTTGTAATGCAAGCATGTTAACCAAAATAATGCACTTGCTATTCTTTTGCAGTGTTGATTATGACGAAACACAAGAGCAAATAGCAAAGTCGAAAAAATCCATTGTTTTACTTTTAAATAATCCCTGAACGCACAGTAGTCACTATTGAGCTGTTAATTCCAAAAACTAACGAGCATTATCAGTACCAAAATATTGCGGATATATACGTGCAGATTAAAATGAATTTAGATTTGTGTACTAATTAAAAACTCGCTGCTATTTAAAATAAGAAACTGGCGACATGTCATGTGCTTGCCACATCAGATTTTTTAGCTTACTTCGACCACTTTTATATATTGAAGCAACAATGTGTGTGAAATCGATGAAGACCAGTTCATGTGATAATCATAGAATATATTGTATCGCTAAAGAAGATCTCATTTATATATCAGCTATTTACACTGCATTCTAAACTAATTTCTGAGGCAGAGGTGTTTGAACTTCAACATGGCGTAACCAAAGATCACAAGCGAGAATCGAAAACCAGATTTAAGCGGTTACGCTTATCATGCATAACAAACGAATTCTTAACTTAGAAATATACAATATTTCCTTTTATTATTAATAAACATATATATATATATGATCGTATTGGTCATTTCGCTGTTTAATTTTAAAAGATGGTTTTTATCTTATGGCTGTAAAAGCCAATCAGTCCTGTTTAGATAGGTACACATCAAAATTTAGTCAGTGTCTGTTTTTTTAATTAGCCAGTATCTAATTTTATAAGTAAGACAGTATTATGAACATTACAAGACGATATCTGCTTTTGTAAAGTATATTCTGACCACTTCGAAATTTCATTTTCTTTAATAAGTATAGTAAATACGTTATGAAAAGATCAAGAAAACTCCTCTTTGCACTTTAAAATCTAAAGATGGAACATAAAAATAAACAATTCTGAGTCTTTATTCTTATTTTCCTCAGCCATTTACATTGTTTGGATAATCACCTTCGTCGTCAGTACCCAGTTGCATCATTTTCAGCGCCCTGGGCGAACAGTGCAGTTGACGCCTAGGCGCGGCTGAAGTCTTTTTCGCACTCTACGCAATGCATCTAATGGATGCTTCGTATAAATTTAAATAATAATATTTTAAAGCGAAATAATCCTTTATTTAGTTGTAGCATAAGAGAACAGCTTAGATGGTACCCTCCGAAAATCGGTGCCCTAGGCGACTGGTTATGACGCCTGTGACTGGATCCTGTCTACTCTTTTTGCCGAATTTGTCAAAAGGAGTAAAACGTGAATAATATTATTGCCGATAGATGGCGACACTAAATCTACGATACTCCGGAAAGCAGCTTCTATTCAGTTAATATCGACACGAGTTGGAAAAATCTGTACCGTTTCCTTCGTTAACACTGAAAAACACACTTTATTAATTCTTTCAGCTTTACTCGGTTTGCATTTCTTTGGTATATTTTGTTGTTTCTCTCAGCTTGACTCATTTGCATTCATAAAACGACTCAAAGACTTATTTTAATACTAACTCGAATAGCTAACTTTAGCTGCAAACTAAGCTGCTTACTAACTATATGATTTTTGAAATTAGATGCCTTTACAAATTGCTACCAAAATGTATTTTGGAAATCAGAAATCTTCGATAGGATTAGTACGTTTCGCACGGGTACCTTAGTGCCTAAATCATTATACCGCTATAAATCGGCTTCTTTTCCATACACTGTGTACAGTACGTAAGTCTGTTTACAGTAATCGCGAGACATACTATCTAACAAAATTCTACAATGAATGTAAATGCCACATCTAAATTTCTGCATGTATGGTTCAGCGATATTTCTGTGTAAATCAACATTTAATGTAGTTTAAAAGGGAATTTATTAATATACCAAAACAAATTAATCTAATCTAGAATCTATTTAACATATCATCCACAGTATTTAATCTGTATCAAAGCAAGTTCTAAAGTTTACACTGTTGCCACAAGCGTTCTCTAAAACAATGCGCTTCGACTGATTTTCGCGTTGCCATCAGAGGCAGAAAAAAGTGTCTGTTCAACCGGAGCAGTGGGAATTTTCTTAAATTTAAATTATTGTCGAGGGAAAATCATCACAGGAAGGCTTGATTACGAATTTTACTTTATAGGAAGTGGACAACAGTACCTCTTATTAAATTTCAAAATATTTTTCTGAAACAGTAGCGGTTAATGAGTTTATATTGAGCCTTCTTAAGATGACCATTACGGTTCTAAACCATTCTGATCTTTTGTGACCATCCCGAGAGAGGTACATTCAATTATGTATTAATGTTCTCAGAAATACTAGTTACTTTCAGAGGTGGTTGTCTTGAAGATGTGATCACCTTGAAACAGCCTACTGCATTATTAATAACTGAGAAATAATGATTTATATAATATCCAGCATTATTTTTGTTTATTGTTAGCTTATTTAATAACAACAGATTAAAAAAATATTTGTAAAGCGTATTTCCGATGTAAACTGTGGAATAATTTTAATGTTTAAAAATTAGTGGGTATTAGTAAAATATTATTTATGCATCATTAAATATTAAATTGTTTTCCTAATTTGTAAATATTTTCTTCCAACAGAAAAGGTGCATTGAGTTATTCATTCAAAATTTTAAGTTTATCGAATCAAAACTAGAACCGTGATTAATTATTTATTCCTTTCTTACTCTCAAGTAAAGTTTGATTGTTTCTCTGATTAAAAATAAACTACGGAATCAATTGAATTTTAGAAACCAGCCTGGGTCCCAATCCTTTCTTTTGCTGTCCATGTTGATAAATATAGTAAAAAAATGTGTAATTCGAACGGCGTCTTAAATCTTTGAATTCCTTTATATAGTGCAAATTATTTAACCTTCAATGATTAGTTTTTGTATGCTTATGTGGTTTAAACGCGCATATTGAACAGTATATTAATATGCATAGCGATAAAACGTTTTATCATAAAGTCATAAATTTCATTCTAAGTATCTGCCATTATGAAAGGAAATTAAATGTATAAAATTAAAAATTTTTAATACTTTATTAACCTTAATTTTTTTTATATAATTAAATTTGCTTATGCATTCTTTCTGTTTTCTGTTTTCAGAGCCCCTGCCGCACAAAAGTTGTCTTTCAGTGCACATGGCCAGGATGTGGCCAGCAGTATCAAGAATGTGATCAGGTGGAAAGACATGTTAGAACTCAACATCTCAAGTAAGTGTTGTATCTTTAACTGTTTTTAACATTTTATGCTGCCCTTTGATAAACAAGGTATCAAAAGTAATTAATTCGCTAATTAGCTAATTAGTAATTAATTAATGTTACACTTTTACAGGCGTGGCGGTGAAGCGTTGGATTCTGAAGGCAGCGATCACGAGGAAGAGTTTTATTACACAGAAATGGAAGTTGAAAGCCCTCTTAGCCCCTTTCTTCAGGGTTCCATTTATTCTTCTTCAGTACCCACGCTCAGCCACTTGGATATGGCCAGGCCTGCTCACGAAGATCCAGAGTACAAAAAGCAGACTCAAGTAAGTAATCCACAGACGTCTAGGTTTCTCTTTCACAGATTCTCAATTTGGATAGCAATATATTGTCATGTATAGTAAACTTGTGATAACTGAACTATGGAATCTCTTCCTGTTTGCTCAGGTTCTTGGACCAACTGTAGTGCAAGCGTCTCCTATCTCCATACCACAGCTGCAGAAGTCTGCCGCTTGGCATCTCCATGGATATGCCGCCAGTGCCCCAAGTAACATGGTGAGAAAAATTATTACCCAATCAACTTGATTGAAATTTAATGTCTTAATATTACTGAGATGAGAAACATAACTTTGCAATTTACATGATTTAGTTATCATAAAATAGCTCCATTTTTAGTAGAAATGTTTTCCAATATTCATTTCAGTGATGTCAAGGAACCTACAGTTAAAATCCTCATTGACATTTGTTGATACAGCAGAGTCTTTATTTAACATCTGAAAGACTTTTAGGTGTTCATTTTGTGAAGAAAGGCCTATCCTCATACAGAAACAAAACGCCGGGGGGGGGGAGAAGAGTTGCTAATTTGTGCTTCATAGAACCTTTTATTTATCATTCAGATTATAACAACACATTGCTTACCAGCATAACAAAGTGAGCTATTTGAAAAAATAATATGCGTTTCGCAAAAGTATTTAGCAGCAAGCTAATTATAAATATATTATCATTAAGAATATGTACTTAATGATGTCACATATTGGTTTTCTTTACTATAAAATTTCTTCAAAATTTCTTTTTAACTCTTCTTTCTGTATATTAGCATCAGCATAAAGAATGAAATTTTTTACTAAAGATAAATTTGTACAACTAGATATATATATATCGCATTCGTTCCTATGATTCATTTTTTTAATTATTATTATTTTATTTAAACGCTAAAATATATTTTTAAATATATTTCTATTTATTCTATTTTTGCTTGAAAAACAAATAGTCAAGCTTAAACCGAAATAATTTTTGAAGTAAGTTCAACTTTAAAGGATATGGCAACACGACTAGATCTGCTTACATTTGCCTTTTGAATTAGTATAATAATTAGGCATTAATGTTTAGAGATGTTTTCAAAGTATTTTTACGTTCGGTCACAATCAAACGGATCTTTTTATTCTCGATTTCCCATTGCTAACATTTTTGTTATCTCATCGTGACTTCGATAGATTTAAACTTCTGTCCTTCGACTTCTATAATATGTTTTGCTTAAAAATGTAGCATTCATAATGATTAGAAGTTTTGCAGCATAAACATTTTATATATATATTTTGTGTTTTAGACTACAAGGGCACCATATCTGTTTTTAATGTCTTTGTGTTTCGCTGCAGTTGCTTAATTGATGTGTCCTTTCGGACATTAGGATAAAATGTAAAAAATAAGAAAGCAAATTCTTTTGATGTTAAAAAGTATGGGGTTCCTCCCTTTTATCTACACCTTAAGTGTGGATAAATCTAGTGAACAGCTAAGCGAATAATCGCTTAAGTTCACTAACAGGAACGTGATGCTCAAGAAGGGTTAATTACCCTTTATTGCTCAAAATAAAGAATAACAGCCTTTCTCAGGGCGTACAGCAAAGCCTCCATTTGGCCTTAAACTCAAAAAGTGTACGAAATAAGAACTTAACTAAAGAGTTGTAACCGAAGCTAACATAAATGTAACTAGTTTGGCCCCTAAATATCGAATTAAGTAGCGAAGCTATCAAGGGCCCGTAATATGGCCGAGCGCAGTAACGTCTTAGAGAGACGTGGCCAAAAGGTAAAAGCGCGATAGTCAGAACTCTGATGCTCTCTCTCGAAGTCAGTGGAACTCGACTTAAATACCACTCCTATTCATTTGCATTAAACACGATTCTAAAAACACATTCTGGTAGGAAATTGTAAGCTGAAGTTAGGATGGATAGATAGGAAAGGAGCTTTAACTTAACTGTTAAAAACTTAGGATAAACCATACAAAATATCAATAGCTAGTCCTTCCATTAAAGATCTTTTTTAAAACATTTTTCATTTTTGCTTGCTATAAATTGGAAATGTTTAAATAGGTTCATTAATTTACATTTTCATGTTAGTGATTAAATTAAATATTCTTATTCCAATATTTATATTCATAAAGAACGGTGCAAGTTGCGTAGTCATTAATTTTTTTAGCCATTCTTTTTACTATACAGTAATTTATACTATCCAGTTAGTATACAGTATATGCTCATCGACATAAAAATTTGCGCAGCAATAAAGTGTTGTCAGAATGAAACGAAATTTTACATATGTAAGTACTACTTTGATATAAGTAAGTGATTAGAAATCAAAGAAAAAATGATCATTTATTGCAGATTAACGTACACATGAACGGAAGTTTTAGTACTCTGTTGGACCATCTCTAGCGCGAATGCAAGATGCGATACGAGCGGGCATTGAGGCATACAAGTTCCGTATGGTGTCCCGAGACATCTCGTTCCGCAGTTGCTGTAAACGCGCCTCTAGTTCAGCCAATCTCGTAGGCTGTCCAACTTGCCGTCCTAAATGATCCCAGATATGCTAAATTGGTGACAAATCTGGGGATCGAGCAGGCTAGGTAAGGGTGTTGATGTGGCGTAGGCAGCCTTGTGAGGTCCGTGCTGTGTGCGGCCGAACATTGTCTTGTTGAAAACAGGCTCCTGGGAGCCCTGCCATGAGTGGCAACACATATGGCTTAAGAATGTCATGGACGTACTGCTGGCCTGTCATTGTGCTATGGATTAATATTAGGGGTGACCGTGTATCGTAAGCAGTGACACCCCTTATCATCATACCAACTGTGGGAACGGTGTGTCACTGTAAAGCGAAGGCAGGATTGAGGCGTTCACCACGAGGCCTCCACACACGAATACAGTTGTCATCACTGGTTAAATTGAATCTAAATTCGTCGCTGAAGACGACCTGATTCCATTCCGTTAAAGTCCAATCCTGTCGTGCGCGACACACCACTCCAAACGGAGGCGTCGGTGGGTGGGTGTCATTGGCAGCACACGTAATGGGCTCCACAATACAATATGTCCATCAACGAGGCGCCTTGCGATGGTTCGGGAAGACACAGGGGCCCGTAATGAAGCTGCTGCCTGTGTCTGGATAGCAACCAATGAGGCAGTTGACTCTACGCGTGCGTGTATGATGTGACGGTCATCTCGACGACTGGTCTGTCGAGGGCATCCTGAAACTGATCGCCATGTAAATGACGTCTCTTCTGTCCATTGGTTCCAACACCTCCTCACAGTAAAATCAGAACGGCCTACCTGACCTACCGAGCTGACCACCCAGCTTCCATCATCCCGATGATTCTTTCCCCTCTCGAACTCTGACAGCTCCTGTTATTGGCTTCGATGGGCGTCGCGTACGCGTAACGGCATGTCCACCTCAGCGTTTCCTTAGCAAGAGATTAAGTACACTCAAACAAGCTCTGATTATCAGTTTTATATCCAAGAAGAATGAAGTTCAACGCCCTCTAGTGGCATTATGCAAAGCGCAGTCACGCTGCATTTATAATCATTTTGCATATCTACCCGACATGTACCTTCATGCCAAGTTTTGTTACGATCCCATAATTATTCCTTGGTACGCAAATTATAACTGGATGTTAGTAAGTTTTTTAAATCCACATATTTTGACTTAATGCTTAAATAGCAGTGCGTTCTTCATCAGCTACGCGGACTCAGCACAAGCTTTTTGAGACTGCTAATCTTAGTTTTTTAATAATTTCAATACGTTTACCAAGTTCATCAGAAATTGGTACCTCCCGTGTTTATTTTATGGTCAGATTAGATTCAAGAGGGAGACTGCTTCTTTCTACAACCGTCAGCACATTTCGCAGTTAACATTTTGCTAAAAAACAAAACAAAACAAAACAAAACAAAAAAAAAAAAAAAAAAAAGCTTTGTTAGCTTAATGCAAGAATCGCTAAATTGAACAAAATGCTCATGTTTAGGACTTTATATTTTGCAGTCTACTGGACTCGGACTCACTTAATCTTTTGATATTGAATCTTCCTAAACTGTAATCGGAAACTATTTAAAAAACAATAACTGATATAACTGCTTCTTCCGTTTCAGGGTTCTCCCCAGAAGTGCATGCGTCTGAGTATCAAGCCGACTTCCTCCCCCAGCAAGTCGTCATCCCCGCTGCACCGTCGCACGCGGTCAGAAAGTCGCAAGTGTCGGAAAGTCTATGGCATGGAAAATAGAGATATGTGGTGCACTCAGTGCAAATGGAAAAAAAGCCTGTACTCGGTTTGTAGACTGAAAACACCCAGAGACGCAGTCTTCAGACATCATCTTCGAGAATACTTATTCTTCTGATGTGTTTCTCTTTTTTTCTTCTGTCTCAAGAATATTGAAAGGATTTTATCTTGGTGAACTTGAGTCTGTGTATTCTTTAACCAGGAAGATCTCTCTCAAATGGACAGCCACCTTCTATGCAACTTCATGAGCCTAATCAACAAGAGCCTTCTATGAGTTTCATGATACAGATCTGCATATGAAGGCTAAATATTGGACATATAAACCTTGAAGAATACTCATGGCTGGTCAAATTTGCAAACATCTATTGGGATGAACCTTCTGTAGACTCAAAAGATGTGTTTAGATATTGTTAACTCGTAAAAGAATTAATTTAAATATGTTTGTTCTAAATTTTGCTTCTTTTATTGATATATTTAAGCTGTAATTTCAGTATATTTATTACTTTTTTTATTTCAAAATTTATTTTATATTAAATATACTTTCTGATATCTTATTATTAACTCATATGATGCAGTGACATTAGCAGTCAATGAAAGTGGTATCAGAAATGTATTATATGTGTTATTGTCTCAAGCCAGTCATCTGTATTTACTTCAAAGAAGTATATGTCACACTTCAACAAAAGTGGCTTTCAAAGTAACGAAACAACTCGAGGTATATCTGTCGTCCAATTTTCTAGCTATTTTTAAACTTATTTTGTCATTTCTCCCACAAGATGTGTTCAAGTATTTATAAACAGCGGAAAGATAAATTGCCACTTCAATTTTTTTTCTTTGATTGCTCATGCATTTTTGGCCAATTTCAAAGGTGATTATAGACTTTTATATTTATATGTAAATACATATGTTTTATTGTATTTAAATTTAGTATATATAGATATATTATATATTATATATATATTTAGATTGAGAATGTGTATAAAAAATTTTTATTAAAAATTGCAGTTGTTAATTGCATTCCTTATGCCGAATGGCAGCAGAGCTAAGTTTTGACTTGTTTGCTAATGGACGACTTCTGATGATGTCAAAGAAATTGAAAAATGATACCAATTCACTGCCTAGTCAATATTATGGTATGACCAGTAAAGCTTCTGATTGAAATGTTATGGCATTTTCTGCACAGGGTTTTCTGTTCACTGCCATTCTGTTGTGGACATTTTGTTGTTACTTGTTTTGAGAGAAATAGCAGTAAATAATACTGCACTTAAAGACAGCCTTAGCAAAATAGATTTTAATTATTTTTAGTAAGTAATGCTTAATTTATTTAAAACTTGAATAAAAATAGCAAAAAATATATTTAAAACCTAAATGGAAGCTTGCTGCCTAGCGATATGTTTCAGTCACATTTAAATTATAATTACTCTGAGACAGAAGATAATTTTTAATACTCTGAAACCTCTTTCCAGAGTTTTATTGCAATAATTTATCTCAGAAGAGGATATGTTAGACGTTTTATTAAATGAATTACCAGGCTGTGAGCACTGGTGATTTCCATTGGTGTGTGAGAACATACTTAAAGAATATGTCTGTTTATAAGATATGAAATTGCTTTTCTTAGGAAACGACTCTACTCAAAAATGTGCATACGGCAGAGAATGCTGCATGTATCATTTATATGCTGTATTAATGTGTATCTACCAGTATAAAAGTGTGAAAGTTCGTTTGGGATGATTCAAACAGGCATTCAAATGAGATATACTGTTGTTACCTGATTTCAACGCTATTCAAGGGCAACGAATGCTTCATCCCTTCTCTTGCTCGGTCATTTTGTACAGGTCATTTTTTTAAAGAGTATTTAACTAAACATAATTCTTCACGATATATCTATTTTTATGTGTTTTCCGAAGTTTTTATTCCATAAATCTATATATTATCAATGTCTTGTCTATGCATTGTAGTTGTAATTCAATATGAAGGTCGAGGTTATCTCAATCTTTAGGTAAAATAAATGTCAATTTAAATGTGAAATTAATTAATTTTTTGTTTGCAAGTAATTGCTGAACTGCTGCATATTGGCATTAAGTGAACTAGAACTCAAAACGAAAATTTTACTTAACAAACTTGTTTGAATCTGCTTAATGATATCCTGGCAATTTTTATTTTTTACTCTCGCTAAATTGGGATTTAATTTAATTTAATCATAAAATGTGATGTAGTAATGTGTGATAATTTGGAATAAGAAAGTTTTATTTTTCATTTCTTCCTTGTCAGTATCAGTATTGGCAGCGTTGCTTACTTTATCTCTTATCTTCTGAATATCATCAAGTGAAATGTGTTTTTTCATAGACCTTTTCCAAAATCTCTGTGTACTGACAGAAAAATACATTTGCCTAGAGGAATTTATGAAAGAGTAGAGAAAAATGTCAAATCAATGAATTAAACATATTTTTATGTAGCGTAGTTTGTTTCTCATATGATTCTATCTGTGATCACTTATAAATTGTGTATAATTATACTGTAATATTTTTATCTTTCTGTAGCTTTAAATATTGTCTTAGTTAAGTATTTTGTGCCTTTAAATTTATATTCATCTCGTAACAGAATTTTGATTTCATAGCAAAATAAAAAAAAAACATTCATTCACTTGCTTCAAATCATCATTTTATGGTGATATATATATATATATCCATATAGGCTTAGACTTATGTGGATTAAATTTTATGCATGTTTAACTAAGTAGCATCTTTTACTTTTTTTTTATTCTGTTACATATATATTTTTTAAATAATAATAACGTTAAATTTATGTTACTTCATTCATTTGAAGTATCAGTTAATAACCACGTCAAAACATATATATTTATTTTATAATTATTATTTTTATAGAATTAATTTTAAATAAATATTTATTTTTATGCTTTGAAGAAATTAATCTAGTTAGTATATTTTATTTTAGCATATTTTATGACTATTTAAATTATTTAATTTAAATTATTTGACTATTTAAATTTAGTAAAATTTTGTAATTTTTTGTGTTGCTATGTTTATAATATACTTTGCTATATTCTCTAAAAATATCAAAGTAATGTAGTAAAATGCATTAATCCAATATATTATGCAATATTTAAATAATGTTTTATTTATAGAGATATATTTTATGAAGTATAAGATGTTTAGATTTATTAAATAAAAACTGCGAACATCTCTTCTACTTAAATTATTTTTGACATTAATATTTGTTTAATTTTTTTCCCTTTTAAGTTTGTTACACGATCATTCAAATATCGTACCAGATGTATTACTTTTAAATTATTTTGAGATATATGTATACTAATATTAAATAATCAGTGAGATTTCTTGAATTTTATACAGATTTTATTCTTAAATGGGAAATTCTTTAAATTAGTTTATCTGCCTTAGGCATTTCCTTTTTAGTTCGATCAGTATTTTTGGAAATAATTATTTTTGTGATAAATTTGCTGAAAAGAAATTAACTTCTTTTATAAAATGTATATTTTTGTTGAACTCTGCATTTGATCATCGGTTTCGAGCTAGCTTTAAAATTAGGATATGGTTTTCTCCTCTGGTCTCTTAATTACTCATGTTCTAGTTCACCTTACAAAACAAATTTAAGCTTTGGGAAACAGGTGTGAGATGATTCAACCTCGGGTCTTCAGTGGTAGTTGGGTGTTATTTAGTGCATGAATTTTATATCACATTTTATTACAATCAATTTTCGTGCACATTGTTCTGTAACAACTATTACCCACAGTTATTTGCCGTGCCAAATATTGAGGATGGCAAAATTCTACTTGCTATGTAATTACTAAAAGGCATCCAGAAATAATTTTAACGGCATTCTTAGAACATTATCGATTTTTTTTTTTTCTATTTCAAATGTTCTTTTGGACTTTTCTAAAAATAAATGTTTAACTCAAACGCAAACCATTTTCAAGCTCTTCAATTATGCTCAAAATAACTGTTGGTAAGTGTCGTTCCTCTTATGTTAAAAACTCAAGTTTATAGTTGATGTTGACGACATGTTATAGGAAACAGCCATGATTGATTAAAGCTGAGGCGTAGTTCTTTGCTTACAAAATTACAAACTCTCTTTTTACTACTTATATAATACTTCTTTAACCGATTTGAGTGATTTCTATTGCTAGTTAATGTGCATTACAGAAGTCAGTTACTTTTGTAATACGATGCTTGTCACAATTAGATTTATATTAAATAATCATGTTAAAAATAATTTACCTCTACAAAAAATGTGATTCTTTAACTTCTTAGCAATTTTCATACTACTTGGTCAAGCAGAAGCCAAATAATGAGCCGCCACTAACTTTTACGCACACGAATAGCTCATTCAGAAAAAGAAAAATGATTGTTCTAAGCATCATGGTGAGATAATTGCCCAGAATTTGGAATAATTGCCTTTCATAAGTGTTTAACAATAGAATTTAAAATACCAAATATTCATAACTATATGTTTACCTAAGAATAACTCGTTGAAATTTCAAACAACTACAATGGTTTGATAACAAAATAAATCATATTTATATTTTAATAAAATTTAATTTAATATGTAGTTTTAAATATGTACAGAGTTAGTTTAATATTTAACTTATTAAAAAGTTTCGATTTCTCAGGAAGATCTACACTTGTTCTGGGCAAATTTTTACAACATATCTTCATCCAGTGTTGTAAATTTTATAGAATATTTACTGTGTATTGTGAATATTTCTGTGTAGGCCAAGTGTTATTCACAAATATGTTTAAAAAATAATTGTTAAAAGAATAACATTTAAAAAAATCAATTATTCCCATTTTCTGTTTAATAAAATGCCTAAAATATATATGAATTCTTGCATTAAGCTATTGTATTATAGCCCACAGGCATTTCTTAAAAGCAAAAGTTTTAAAGATGGAACAAAATTCTAAAATGCCGGCGTTTAATGCCATGATGTTAATTCTTAGAATTTGGAAACTTTATTTTATGCAGTTTTTAATTGTTCCAGCCCCATATAGGGAAATATTGCTATGTTATATGAAGACTGTCAAAAATGAACTACCTTCCGTTGTTTAAAATCATGAAGTGGCTAGTTTCACTTATATGACATTGTATAAAATTGTACATAACTGAGAATAGATGCTATCGTCCATTAATATATTATTGATTTTGTGTATCTGTCAGTCGTTATATCATATCATATATATTATTCTGTTATCAACTGTGCATTTCATTTGATGAAATTGTGTATCCCCCATTTGTGCGTTTTAATGGATAAAAAGTTGATTCTGTCTTAAAAAGGATAGAGAATTTTTCTGCTTTTTTCCCAGCATGCTTTTCACCACGATGTTACAAATTTTCCTTGGATTGGGATGATTTAACCTGAGTCTGATTTTTTTAAAAGCTATGATAAATTAATAAAATAATTCTGATATATTGTTTCATATAGACGAGCAAGAAAAATTACTTCAAGCATTATGTATTTGTTATTTGTATAAATTTGTATATTAGAATTAAAACTCTTAAATTGTAATTTTGAAATGTTACGTTAAAATTTAATCAAATAATATTAGTTTTAAATCTTAGGTCCTATAAAATGTATTTAAAAGACGTACAAATCAGTTGCCTGCGTGATTGATGATCTTTTGTATAAAATGTTTTCATTTTTCTGCGAGAACAAATCCTGTATTTTAAAGTCTAATATGATTCTTATTTCATATCATTATATCATTAAACTTCAGTTAACTGCAATTACGTGACCGGTCAAATAATTACTATATAATCGCCGAAATTAACGAAATCGATGCAAGTATCGCCAACTTGGCAATTTCGTAAAGTGATATTTACATTGAATATGTGGTGAAAAGGAATGCTGCCCTTCCGCAATTGTTGAATCATTCTTTCGTTTTGTCACTGGTGATTGTTGCCTTTTGTTATGATTTTGCAAAGTTTTAAGCTGGTTGTGGTTTGTG